CAGTGACCGAACTGAAGCAAAAGTTTTGCTGATCCCGTGACAAAATTATAAGGAACATTTTTCGAAGGACAAACATCAAGAGGCAGCTGTAGGTCTAAAGCACCTTCGTGTTTTAGCACGAGAGCGCCCAAACATGCCTTTAAACGAGTTATGCATTCAGACAAAAGAAATAACACAAATAAAAACAGAAAACATCATTTGCTTAAAGGCGAATCTTATTCTTTCATTGTGTGCAATATAACTGTCAGTCTCTTTTGTTTCCGAAAATCACGAGTTTTGTCCAAGTTCTCTAGCTAAAGATATGACTTTTAATTAACAAGTCCCCCGAAAGTGGACCAACTACATTTTGCAGAAAATAATTCGAAGAACACCGACGTTGAGCAACAGGTTATCAATGTAGGTACCTTGATAATCTCTTGCGGTCAGCTAAGTCAACCTCGTCCCAAGGGTGTTTTTTCTTGTCCACCCCCCTGATCCCTGATGCGAGGGAGGACTGGGGAAGGACAGAGACCTTGGGAATGAATTTGGAGCGAAGACTGGGAAAATTTGTGTTGCGGTAACTCTTGCAATCCTGTAAAAGCAATAAAAGCGTTAGAGTTTTATATTTACTCAGACAAACTTGAGGAACGCAGAAGATAAGGACGAGCACAATGTTTCATCAAAAAGTGGTTTTATTCTTTAAAGTCTGTGTTACAACAATTGATTTTGCTCCTGAAAATGAGCTGCAACGAGGCTAATTGGCCATTTGACGACCAAGGTCATGATTAAACGTAGATGTCTCCGAAAATGGAGCAACGAAAGTTTGCAACAACTTAACACTGCTGCGAAAAATGATGAGCAGTTTACGAACAAGCTAGCTAAGAGAGGGCCTTAAATATATTGACTTATAATATGATGAGCGCGGAACCCTGAAATATAAACGTTAGTTTTAGTTTAAGATATTTATTCAGATAACGAAAACACACAAAATGCAAGACACTCTGGTTTCCCAAAGGCAAATTTTGTTTCCAAAGTCTTGTGTTTTTTACTAATAGCTTCTGCTCCCGAAAATAAGCTCCGACCGAGAAAAAGATCAAAGTATAAAGCCTTCTAAGCGGAAATATGCAAAATACATTCTGTAAATGAAAACCGCAGATAAAAAGTTAATTTTAAAGAGTCGCTAAAAAAGTTAGTCTTTACCATGCTTACAATTTTCTCAAGACTATTACAATATTTCTAGGCACGTCAGCTAACATTATTCCACAGGACCTAAAGTAATCCATCAGGGATGCGCTCCTAATTTTTTTTGAAGTGTTCAGAGTAACCAAGAATGTTCCTGTGTCAACAATATTTGACACTGCTTGTGAAACATCCAGGGCTGCTCGAACACACATCCGGGGTTTTAAGTTGCCTGCTATCGAGAGAAACGCGATACCAGGCTCATGTTGTAGATTCTCGGTTAAAGTCGAAAACGGAAATCCGATCGTCGACCGAAGTGCTCCGAAATGATCCGAATCGAAAAATTCTCCCGAGGAGAAACCGAAGCGAGGCAATGCTGTCTAACATTGGAATACAACTCGCCCTACAATCCACACTGTCTGTTTCGCATTTTTGCAACCACAACAGCAAGTCTGGTAAATTTTTTTTAACAGTAGTGAGAGTCGAGTCTCAATGGAAACAAGCTCTGTGGCAAGAGGGCGCGTTTTACTCCAGTGTCCTACAGCATTCGTCCGCGCGTGTTTCCTATCCGACACTCGCGCGGCAAAGAGGACAACAACAACAACAACAATCTTTATATTATTATTTTCTAAACAGCATTTAATATTACCTTAAGAAAATCATAAATTTGTTAACAATTATTCACCGACCTCAGAGTGAGTAATTGTTGTAGTATGTACCACATTAGTGAATTAGGGAAAACAACCAGTGAAGTTATTTGGCGAAATCATTCCAGATTGTTTCAGAGTTAACGGTTTTATTATCGATCGATCAACTGATATAATTATTAAGTAAGAATCCAAACTCAAAGCATTATTCACAAGTGTGGTACATACAAGTTTTAAGATAATTCTCTATGCTGTCTACGCTATAATGTTTTTGACCAACTCAGATGTGACGACAAACCAGTGTTGTTTTGCCATCCTTTGGTTTCCGGTATTCCAGTGTGTCCCATGTTGTATTGCTGTTCCAGTAGTCCTTATTGTCGTGGCTTGTCGAGGTTGTATCTTCCTAACTTATATACTCTATAACTGTCTTGCTATCCCGCCAAGTATCAGCTCTTCTTTGTCAAAATGACTCGGCTTATAACTTAAGAGGTCTGTACAACTGCTTACAATCACTGCAAGTTACCTTGTGTCGATTTCAGGCTCCAAGAAGTCCTCCAATTTGTAGACGGTCTAAGCTTCCTGCGCCTGCGAAGTGCAATGCAAGCGGATTCCTTGATGAGACCTGTCCCACAAGGCAACGCTAGCAAAGAGACATGTACTATCTGGTTGTTAACGCCGCCTGTAAGCGAAAAAAGTCTCCGAGGAAATTTTAACTGACTGACAGGCTATGCTTGCTGTCTGATCGCTCTCTAGTTAGATGAAGATCTTGTTGTAGCTTGCATCTTGTTGGTCAAGTGTTCTATAGATCAGTTTTGGAGGCTGCCTACACTAAAATTTGTAAGTAAGCTATCTAGGGTGTGTGCTTTGTCCCCGATGCCCACTATACTAAAGCCTAAAGCCTAATTAATTAATAATCTTATTAATTAATTGCACATCTGGGTGAACCTTGAGCCGAATTAAGACCCTGTTAATAACAGCGATAATGCTGTCATTAAAGGGCAAGGTTTCTGCCAATAACAGTGCTAGTGCTGTCATTGAAAGAAACTAAGAAAATAACACTCTCTTTAAATAATTGGAAAACACTAAGCGGGAGATTGCGCGCATGCCGAAGTGTTCCCGAAAGAAACCCGAACTGAGCCGAAGAAAGGCCGAACAATAAAACTTCTGAAGGATAATTAAATGAATGAAATATCCGAAGGCCGAATTATAAAACCCAGGAAAGGAAAGGGGGAGGCCCGAAACCAAGCTACCCAGTGCTAAATAAACTATCTAGAATAAATTAAGCCGAATTAGCCGAAGATAAACGAATGCAAGCCGAATGTGCACCGAACGTTTGCCGAATTGAAGGTTCATCCAGAGCTTTAGTTACTTACCCACCCTACCCTACCCACAAAGAGCTGCACTAACCGCTACCATATATAGGAGAACTTGTGCCTGTCGTTGCCAAGGTGATGCCGAGAGCAATGGGCTCTGATATGTCTGGAAGGGTTCTACCGGAATGGACTGCTCTCTCGGGATACTGGACTGACTGCCTCACGAGGTCGGGGAAATTAAACCTAAAATAGTAAAAGCATGAGGAAACCTTAGCTTAGAAACTTAGAAATTGCTATATAGCCTCACAATTGATAACATTTAAAATTTCTTTATAATATTTCTCATACTTGGGAAGAACTGAATATCGACGGTTGTATCGGCATAATTTAACGGGGCATAACTTTTATTTCCTCGTTACTGCATTTCCCCCCAAATAAAGCATATATTAAAAAAAAAAAAATAGGAAAAACGGCTCTTGATTTTAGAATTCGTTATGCTATTTCATAAATTATGATATGCCTTCTGTCCATTGTTAGCCGGCGCTTCTCAAGTTTTGCTAAAATCCAGTGTAAAAACCCGGTGAGACAACATGTATACGCTAGCGTGCCTGAACATTTAATACGGACAAAACACACACTCACAAATAAAAATTATGAGGTCAAAGGTAAGTGTACCTGATATGAGTTCACATCATGCCTCCACGTTTAATTGGAGAGGCCTAACTTGAAACACGTTTCGTTTCGTCGCGGAGATCTGTAATTCTCTCAATCGCTGCCCCTGAAATGAAAAGAGAAAGAAAACTAACTTCATTGTAATTCGCAAGAACATAGGTAGTTTTGACTGGAACCGTTGTTTCAAAGTTATCGTCAACTCTTTCTGCCACAATAACACAATTTGGTTCTTTTAAATTGGAACTAACTCACTATCTTACCTGCTATTTCTCTCTCAGCCTCTAGCTAGTACTTCTTATTGCTGTAGACAGGTAAATAACTCTAGAGCTTTATAACCTCTCGCCTACTGACGTGGACGAGATAGGTTTCTGGTGTCTTAGGCTTTAAAATTTCGCAAGTGTTCGTATCGTTCCTTCTGGTGTAAAATTTAACAAACTAATTTATGCGCGCTGCGCGCCAACTTTCTTACTGCACGTGCTCAGAATGTGATTGGCTCAAACTGTCAAAATCCAGCTAAAAGCCTGTCACGCCACGGGAATTCGACTCTGCATACGTTGTGTATGAGACAGCTTGTGTATATAGAGAACTGTATGGGAAAGTCACCGATCGTAAACAAATTGTGTAAGTAACTATCTAAGAAGGAGAGACAACGGTTTCGAATAACTTCAGTAAACGGCGTCAGAATGGCTTCATAATCGGCGCAAGAGACAAGTACACGGCACATTTGAGGTAGGAAAACTTTATTTCAAATTAGATATTATTCAGACCCATTTTTTTTTTTTTTTTCAAAAAGAAAACAAAAAAAAGAAAACCATCAGTGTTTCAATCCCCATGGAAAGGTTATGCTGAACCGTTGTCATAACATCATATTACAGGGGCGGATCCAAGATTTTTCTTAGGAGGGGTGCCCCATGTCTTACTTCAACACCAGTAAACCAAATAGTTTTTTTTTGTTGCAGAATATGTATACTAGAAAGCCGCATGTCATCTCAGGTGGGAGAGGGAGGGGGCACGCCAAGGCATCCTGCCCCTGGATCCGCCCCTGGATCCGCCCCTGTATTAGCCAAAATAACGGAACAACAAAAAGAGCAATCAAAATGGCTTGGATAGCACTTCGTTCCAGGTTATAGCGAGCCAAAATAGGACACGCAGCCCTGGGTACTGCAATCGGAAAACGAAAAAGACTAAGCCCTAGCTCTTGAGATTGAATACAACATGGCGTCCGGTAGGACGAGACCAAACATTTTGGTGACCGGAACTCCAGGAACAGGAAAAACAGTGACAGCAAGTACGCTAGCAGAAAGAACAGCTCTGAATTACATTAATGTGGGTGATTTGGCCAAAGAAAAACACCTATACGAAGGATGGGACGAGCAGTATGGCTGCCACGTGCTCGACGAAGACAAGGCAAGCAAATTAAAGTTTACTACGCTTAAAATAGTTCGTACTTTATTTTGTAGTTATGTAAAGCTCTCTCCTCTTGAGAGACCAGTTTTTGCTCCCTTTAGAGTTTGCAAAAATTGGGCTTAGATAATTGTCCAGCTCTTGTATCTAATGCATCAAGTTGTGCAATCAATTTAAATACAGGTATGATAGTGGGCATGTTGTAAATTAAATGTATGTAGCTGTTCTATAGTGCACATCACCTTTGTCACATTGCCCTACCGGTAGGGATTCAGGTTATGAATTCATCAGCCCTTTCAAAACTCCTACATTGGGCCATGTACGTATTCTCGGTATTAGATTGGAACTAGCTTATGCACCATGGCCAGTCATTTAAACCCCCTGCCCCCCATTGGGGAATACCTGGGGCAAACGGGGGGCTTTCACCTCATTTTCACTTGATTTAGGTTCCCTGGTAGTCAGGGAAGGCACCTTTTTTCATCGCTTCACTACACAATGCGGGGGCGGAGTGGGGGTGTCACTCTTGGTTCGCGACCTCTTTTAGATGACTGGGTTCAAGTTGCTTGTTCTGTAGAAAACATGGAGGCTGAACAACTGACAAAGAAGCTATGATTTCAATTGCTTAATATTTATCATACTTTTTCATGCTCTTTCTTTTTTTTCAATACACATTGTATGATTAGCGATTTACTGAAAAACTTCAAATATATTTAAAATAATACAAATATAGTTGCCTGATGTTTCAATGTCGCTAGCATCATTATCAAGTTACAAATGACAGTTTTATTGTGGTGTGAAGATAAATAAGTGGAACTACATGTAGTATATTAGACATTTGCATGTGATCTCAATTAAATAGTTTCATGCAGATAGAGTCAGTTCGCACGTTCAGAGTTGAGATCCTGTAGGTGTTAAGAGTGTGTTTTCCGACTGACAAATTCAGGGTACTGTGTTTGACAATACATTGATGTAAGTGTCAGTTGGTGTAACCAACATAGTCCAGGTGAAATCACATGCAAAATGTCTATTATACTAGCTCCACTAATTTATATTCACACCGCAATAAAACTGTCATTTTTACCTTGATAATGATCATGTTGGGCTCAATTTCTGCTGCTCTCTTGTGTCCGCTCGATGTTGGGCTCCTTTCCCAAACAGCGGCTGGTAATCAAGCCAATAGTGATGTTAGCAACATCAAAATGTCAGACAACTATAATTTTATTATTTTTCAACAGACTGCTAGAAAAAGAAGAAAACGAAGAGGAAGGGAAAAAATATGTAACCTTGACTTTGTTGGTATGACAAAAATCCTGTGAAAGCTCCAGTTGTTTAAAAAATGAAAATGTATTTAATGAATTGTACTTGAAATTTAGAGGGTGGGGGAGCTCACTCTGTATTTTTACCCCATAAGACAGGGCTTCCACTGCATCTCACTAACAGTAAAGTGACTGCCCTAAGTATCCCCCAATAAGGGGGGCGGGGGGGGGGGTGGTTCAAATGACTGGTGCATTACAACTGAGGCTAATGCGGGGAGTCTTTTCAAATGCAAACGACGTTAATCTTTGCTTAATGATATTCCCCCACATGGGCATGAGCCTCCCTTGCAAGCTAGTTCCAGTTCAATGCCGAGAATATGAATATGGCCTATCCATGGGAATCCCACATTACAGTTTCCAAATTACCGCTACCGGGATATGCCAGATTGTAGATAGATCACCTCTATGCAGCTATGTACTAAGAGATGGACCATTATTTATTTTTCCCCTCAAAAAATTCTGCACAGAAAAAAATGCTGACAAAAAAAATTGTGCAAGGAGATCCACGGGGAGAAAAAAAATTGAGTAAGTATTTTCTACCATACAGGTCCTGTGTTTGACTTGAACAAAATTCTTTCACCAGCTATTGGCAACCCCCCTCCCCCCCCTCCAAAAAAAAAAAAAAAAAAA